GTGTGTGTGTGTGTGTGCATTAGCATGGGGGTGACAGCACATGATTTACTGTCCTTATGTCTTAATTAAATTGTTTCAGCAAAGCGATTCTGAGAAAAGAGGGAGGGGAGGTGTGAGCAGTGCATACAAATTAGACGTCAGATAGAAGAGAGCAGGAAGCAGGGATGGATACAGAGATATATACATCTACAAAGAACAATGAGCTCAGAGAGAGTTGGCCGGGGGGAGTTGATGCATTTCCTTCTGTAGCTGTCTATCTGACTTGAATTTCACCTGAAGATATACTGTAAGACACTTTTGTTTCTTACAACAGCTTCCTTTATTCTTTCTTTCTTGTGTGTGAGTGCAGCCAGTTGGACTACAACCACATCAGCTGTATAGAAGATGGAGCTTTCCGAGCGCTACGTGACCTGGAAGTGCTGTGAGTACTTGTTTATTCAGTCGCCCTGCTAACAACAGCAGGGCTTTGGTGAATGATGAACACTAACAGCAGTGGGACATGGAACAGCTAATATCCTCATTGACCTTTAAAAGACTGCATTGCCTGTGCGACTCCTGAAAAGGGGCCGTTTCATATATATTCACGAATGACTTCTCACTATGATTTTATTAATCATTAGTGCCACTGTACAGACCTATTGTCAGTCCTAAAGTCAGCCTGACTGATAAGCCTGTTGATGTTATTAATGACCGATATTCATTATCATCATACAGTGTGGCACAGGCAAATTTTATTTCACAGTCAATAAATATTTCAGATAGGGAGCAAGCTTTTAAATAAAATAAAAAAAAACACAATATCAAAATTATGGATAATTTGCTGTGTATTTGCGAGTTATGAGCCTTACATTTGTGATTTTCCTTGAGGGAATGGATTTAATGTATATTTCTGTGTGTGCAACCTATGCTAGGTTAAGAAAATTTATATATTTTTTTTACATTATTATTTCATAAGTTACAAAAAGTGTAAAGTGTTTTTACTGAAATGTTAATTTTAAGATCTATTTTCAGTATCATTTCTGCCAAGACGTCAACTATTTGTTGTGTATCATGGAGTCTAAACAATTGAAGAGGGAATGATGCCATTTTGTTTTTAATGCTGTGTGGTTACAATCAAATGAGACAGCAGATAAGAGCGCTATAGTTAGCAAGTAGATTCTTTAGGGGTAAATGACAGCCGAATCTTGTAGTGCGTCACGTCATTGAAAGACAGTTTAATTGTCAGGACTGGATCTCAACATAGTTAAAAATGACACTGATGACCTGATTCCAACTTCCACACCCTACTTTGCTGACTCTATGTCTGTGTAGAACTGCAGAAGAGTCCAGTAAATCTATATGGCATTGTGTTTTCTACTCTTTTCTCTCCTCAGCACCCTCAATAACAACAACATCAGCAGACTGTCTGTGGCCAGTTTCAACCACATGCCGAAGCTCAGAACCTTGTGAGTATTTGGTACACATTAGCGCCCCAAGGGGAAGTATTCCTCTCATCCGTGCCCGTTTGTACAATTGATTGATCAATCTGTACTTGCACCTCTCCCTCCCTCCTCCGCCCAACCGGCTCCTGTCCTCAAATTTACTGTCCCCCCCTTCCCTTCCCCCCCAACCTGTTCTCGCCACTTGTCACCC